TTATTGGGGAACCTATTTTAATTAAAATTTGCTTTTCTCACTGTTAGGCTCCTATTTGGTTCTTTTGCAATCCCAAATTTTAACACCATGTCCTCATCTTTTCATATAATTCTAATATTTTCATTTAAAAAGAAAGCTATTTAAACTATTTTGGATTGTCCTCTAATCTCTAGACTATGCTGTAATTTATAATGGTTGGTTTTCCCTGTGGTTTATGATTTGGGGCCCAGACTTCCTCTTCAGTGAGAGGATTTCCCTGCCAGCCTCCTGCATTCAGGACTGTGGGAGCAGATAATAGCACTGGCCTCTGTGCACAGCAGTGATTTTCTCTAATCCCTTATGTTTTGTTTTTATTTTAATTTCTCAGGTTGGGATAATAGCATCATCTGGGTAGCATAAGTTCAAAACCAAATCTCACACGAAGAAGAGGACTTCTAATCCAATGTATCCTAAGTGACTTTTTATTTCTTTTTTGGCACCTAGCACATTTGGAATATGAAGTGGCTTTTCAGTGTACATCTCTTTATAACATTTGAATTTTTTAACGTATGCATGAACTGTCCAGTCAAAAATTGTGTAAGTCTACACACACATGCATACACACACATGTGCATATTTATATCTAATCTAAGTTTCAGAAATCCATATAAAAATATGTTAGGAAAATTTTGTTAAGAAAACAATTCAATGTGCTTTAGTCCAAGGCAAGAGTTCTGCTGGAACTCTAAAGTTTGATCAGAATGGGGTTATGATCATATGTGTCTTTAAATTTCAATTATTTAAAGTGGCTAGGATTTTACTAAGTGGAGAAGACACACAGTTTCCTAAGGCCCTGTCATCTTCCTCTGCAGGTGGCTTTTCCTGTTGTGCATGTGTATGCAACTCTCAGACTATACCAGTTCTATTTCTGGAAATTCTTCATGTTTATGATGGGCGGTAGTAAGGGGAAATCTATTAACTCCTGTTTTCAGGTTTTTCAGATGCCAGAAAGAATTCATTGTGAATTTCAAGACTACGAAATGCTAAGTAAATTAAAATAAAATCCTAAATAATTTCAAATTATCTAATTTGAAACAATGCAATTTAAGATTTGTATTCATTATACCAGAATAATATTAAAATAATAGCAATAAAAATCATGAACACTAATGAACATTTATATTTGCGACACGTGAATGTGTGTGTTAGAATATAATATGCAGGATCAGAATAGTAAACAGTTTTGTTTTTTTTTTGAGACAGAGCCTCAAGCTGTCACCCTGGGTAGAATGCCGTGGCAT